AAGCACAACGCTATAGAATGGACTGTCTGTGATGTGCCTACCACGGGTATAGACACCTATTATTTACACGCACACAGACATTTACATATAGTAACAAGTAGAGCGAAGGTTAAATTTAACTAAAATAAAAAATGTGCCAAATGTTTAGATATATATATAAATACATTTGCAAAATTCCCAGTGTGCTCATTCTCTATTCCAGCGGCAAGTCTACGAACTTACAACCCTAAAATCCGGGGTTCGATTCTCGTGATGGACACAGCAGATAGCCCACTGTGGCTTTGCTCTAAGTCTAAGGCAATAAAACCAAACAAACTTTTTTCCACATATTTACAAAGCACTTAGAACACGAACAGGTATTTTTACTATTACAGTAGCTACAGGTAAAGCAAGTTTTAAGGTAAATCAATCCCACGGCTCTTCTAATAAACTAGTGTGATTCCTCCATCTCTTCCAACCGGGCATGGGGATCCCTGGTCTGGTCATTTAGCCCTTGTGTCGCATACGTCTGTTTTGAATTTCGCGCAAAGCTACACGAGGACTATCTGCGCTAGCAGTCCCTAATTTAGCAGTGTAAGACTAGAGGGAATGCAGCTAGTCATCACCACCCACCGCCAACTCTTGGGCTACTTTTTTTACCAACGAATAGTGGGATTGGCCGTCACATTATAACGCCCCCACAGTTGAAAGGGCGAGCATGTTTGGCGTGACGGGGATTCGAACTCGTGACCCACAGATTGCGAGTCGAGCGTCCTAACCACCTGGCCATGCCGGGGCTGTTGCCACAGTCACACCCCCTTTTCAACGCTGCGGTAAAGACTGTAGAGTTTAAAGTGCGATTGATCTAGCTCATGTCCTTCCTCTTACAACATGGCGACTTTAACCACTCGAGATAAAGTGGTTGAGGGCATTTTGTTGAAAGCTCTTGATGTTGAACTTTAACCAAAAAATAATTTTGTCAAACAGCAGGCTTGATGAAGGCTCACGTGCTCTCAATCACACCTCGAAATAAACGGCTGCCTTGGTGAAAAAGATGGCCGAAAACAAATTGCTTCAAGTAATCCTATTCGATCACATACAGTTCCCGAATGCATCTTCAATGGTCTTTCGTGGCTTTAAGCCTTCGAAACCGACGTAATCGTATAAAGCAGGGTCTGTGGAAAATTTGTAAATCTATATGATCTAAGATCAGTGTTACCAACTTAGCGATTTTGTCGCTAGATTTAGCGAATTTTGGACTACCCTAGCCACAAATCTAGCGACTTTAACTGCCGACAACAATAACATTCGGAGTAAGAAGTCGCCAATTTGTATATTCACAAAATCACTCATAAGCGTCTTAGTAGTGCTAACACAGTCCACGCTCTTCTTAAAACATTCCATTTCACGCCACGTCAACATTATTACGTTTACACAGTCTTGACGAGACGCGACTTGAGATGATTTTTGGTTTAATTTCGCGCAAAGGTACTCGAGCGCTATCTGTGCTAGCCACCTTCTAATTTAGAAGAAATAGAAACGCCGCTAGTCAACACCACGCACTGCTAACCCTTGAGCTACTCTTTACCAACGTCACGTTAAAATGCCCATTGCAATTCGAGGACCCTAACTAGCAGGCCATGTTAGGCCAGCATCTGACGACTGTGTACGTTTTGTTACTCGTAGGCAGTTATATCTATACCTAACTCCATTTACATCCAAAGAAGGGGGGACTGGGAGGAAAGTATCATGGAGATTTAGGCATGCCCTTTAAAATTCTATGACAAACACTTATTAAGATGTGAGTTAGAGTCTAAAAAATGTTCACTGTTTGATGAGTACAGAAATTCTATAATGTATTATTTCAGGAGTGTTTCCTCATTGCAGCGATAGTTCTCCATCCTGTATATATAGCATTTCTATAGAATTATATAGATTTTTTTATTATTATATATTGAATACAATAGATATTTTATTTAATGACACTTCTGGCACCCTTAGGATGTCTAAATAGTGACATATAGAGACTTTGCTAGGTTTCTTTGGCGAATTCCTGCTTTGTGAAGTTAACCAAAACGTCTAAGATTGACTTCGTCGTTCGTCGCATAAATTCAGATCTATAAAAGAACGCAGCATCACGATTATCAGGCTGAGCTTGATTGGTTACGGAGGAAATAGTTTCAAGGACAACACATCGGTTTCATAAGTTTCGTTTAACCGTTAATCCATAGTGAATTTGATACCAATGTTTCATAATTTAACTTGGAATTAAAAAAGTAATCGTATAGTGTTTTACCATTCTAATCACACAACAGTAGTTGTTCGATGTTATACCTAAACTGAACTTTTTCAATAAAATTAAAGTACAAGAAAAAAGGCTTACCCTCATAGCTAAGTAAGTTTGTTTGTTGAATTTCGAGCAAAGATACACAAAGATCAGTAGTCCTTAATTTTGAAGTGATAGATTAGAGATATGGCAGTTAGTCACCAACACCCATCGCCATCTCTTGGGCTACTATTTACCAATGAATAATTGAATTAATTATTAAATTACATGGCTAAATTGGCTAGCATATTCGGTGACAAGTTTCGATCCCCCAACCTGTAGATTGCTAGTCGAACGCTCTTATACCAGACTAGGTAAGTAAAGTAGTTTTCATTTCGACCTTTGAAAGAAATATAAATTTGGTATTCTATATTTTAATATTTATAAAGTTGTAAAATAATGAAATAATTAAAGTGGTCAATATTGGCGGACGAATGCAACACGTCTCCATCACGCAATCTCCCCAAAATATCCGATTTTGACATCAGAAAAATCGTGAAAAATACAAAAAAAATCGAGAACAATCTAAATCACTGCCTTGGATCTGCAAGAAGGTATTGTTACGCCTCCGTTCGTTAGTTAATTTTCCGTAAAAATTCTTTCCGAAGAAACTTTACCGATACAAGTCATTTCTTAAATAAAACTGGTTTATTCTTTCTGAATACAACTTTGCGATACACTTAATTTCAACATTCGCGCTGTAACAAACGCTATAATTCACAACGAACCTCTCACGTGCTCAACTCAACAATACTCTGTCCGCAGTTCAATTACACATTACCTTACGTTGCTTCTTGGCCGGTCTTATATATACAGGACTACCCTAATCTAGTAATCTCCCGACATTTCATGAAGGTTCGAGAAGGAAGTGGCGTGATACAAGTGTCACGTGACTTGCGTTGTTGTAACAGTACTTTGTACCAAATTCCATGTAAATTGGTTGACATACACATGAATAATTCACGAAAATTATAAATTGTGCTTTCCTCGTTGAAAAATTGAGCAAAAGACAAAAAATTCTAAAATTGTCAATATCTCTGATTGAGACTCTGCAAAGAGTATCTTTTTACTAAATTCTCCGTAAATTGCTAAGTAACTGACCCAAACTCATAAAATTATGGGTTTATTTAACCTTTTCATTCCTCTATAATGACCAAAAATGAGCATATACCAATTTATTTTTTTATCAATGTGTGGGACCTGTAGAAAAGTATCTTTGTACTAAATCCCATGTAAATTGGTCAAAATATGGCCGAGTAATTGACCAAAAACCTCAACATTATGCTTTTTTGGGAGGTTTGACTCCCTTAAAGAGACTCGAAATGGAAAAATCCAACCTTTTTTATGCAAATGTGTTGGGCACATAAAAATTTATTTTATCATTGTAATTGCTCTAAGTATGAACGAACATGAGCCCAAAATATATATATATATTAGGTTGTTTGATTTTTGACCCCATAAAATCCTTAAGAAGGACTAAATGAAAAAGTTGTCTGGGTGTATTGGACCAAGGTATAGTCCTATCAAGTTTAAAGTTAATCACCCGAGAAATGACAGTCAATTGAAAAGTGTTTGGAAGAAGAAGAAACAATAGTGGTATCCTGATTGTATTCCATAATTTTTTTGCTAGAGACACTGATATGTTTTCTCATTCGTGCTTTTTCCACCCTAAAAATATACTATTGATAATAAACTTTTGTGTCATATAGAGAGCGCAAAGCAAAAGTGGAAGGCAATTAAAAGAGCACGAAATAAAGTTTCATAAGCAGCTTAATTCGTTTACATACCATGCATTTTCGATAATGTATTTATTATTATGTAATATCTACGTTTCTTTTGATTGTTGTTTTTTGGGAGTGAACAAAAACTCTTACAATTTTGAGAATTATCATGTATTGTACTTATGATAAAAATTTAAACAATTTATTTATTCAACATAGATGTCGCCCTTATATTGTCTATTTAAGTGTAGACACGAGATTGTTTGGTGGGAATTTTGAGATTAGTGTTTGAACTATTCTTTGTGTGCTTGAAAGAGATTGTTGAATTACAACTTTCAGTGCTTCTGAAATTTGTGTAGATTTAATTTTTAAGAAACTTGACTATTCGACAATGTATTCCCGAATTTCGGACGATATTTTGCGGGAGTCAAATGTGAAAATTGTGCGGAAATGTCAAGATGCTGATAAGACTAAAAGTAAAAGGGTGAGATAGGTGTATATTGTTAAGCCTAACAGTAACTTCCCAGACTCCCCTCAATAGTATTGTTAACAGTATTTACAGCATGGGTGATCTGGCAGTTATGTACAGTCCAGTCCTTGTAAATTCAGGTTGTATTTCATGCACTTTCCAACACTACACAAACACTATCACAAATGATCAGGGCCAGGCATGGCCTGATGGTCAAGGTACTGAACATGCAATCTGCATTTTAGTTAATGAGGCATTACAACATGGTGGTGGGTGGTGTTGCCGTATAGCCCAGCAGTTCCCAAAATTTTCAGCCTTGACCCATATTAAACATACAAAATCTGTGCAACCCCAAATGTTTGAAAATGTATTTTTGCTACATGATTTTCTTTCTGACAAAGCCAGCTGTGACCCCCAGGTTTGGAAACTACTGCTCTAATTTCACTTCAAAATTAAGGTGCAGACTACCCTCTAGTAGATTTGTACAAAATTCAACAGAATTTTAGTGAAATTAAAGGAAGTATAGAACATAAATTAGGTATATAATTATTTTGAAACATTCTTGCTAAACTTAAGCTCTGGCATAATTGCATTAATTTGATTTTGTGGTTACCTTGCAGTAAAACACAGAATTGTCTACCCAAGCAGAGAAATTGGAAGGTGTAATTAACTTTATGAAGTTGCACGTAATAACTACCTTGAAAATACATGTGTAACACTATTACTGGTATGCAAAATAAAATTAACCAATTTTTTGCAAAGAGGAGACAACTATATTTAAATGTTTCACTTTTGTCTTAATTTATTACAGCAATCTACTAAATTCAATTTTTATGTCTTAACTTAGTCAGGGCAAGATGGTTGTATCATTAAGTATTCATTTACCAGCAGTTTTATTAGCCATGGCATAGTGGCTTTAATTTTGTTTTTCAAGTGCAAACTTTTAGCTCAGTTTCATCTCTTGACCCATTTGAGATGTCATTACAGTTGTGGCTATTGAAGATTCCCCTCTTGTTTTTGTACACTACCTTTATGTGTGATGCTATTTGCAGAAATATGAAATTGAAGGGGGGGTTCAAGTAAGTTTTTAAGTAAGTTTTTTTTGCTTCTATTGTACTTGACATTTTCAATTTCAATGATCAGATTGTTTCAGATTCAACTTGTTTGAGTAAAAAAATTGGTGGTGGTAGGGGGGTATGTTTGGCAGCCCCTTCCCTCCCAGAATGTTAGACCAGTATTCCTTGAACTTGGCTGTGTTCCACTCATACGCCTGCTGTAGAAACATTTTTGATCGTAAACCAAAGGTTCATGCTGCTATATAGAACTATTAATTTTTCAAAGTTATGTGATTTATTTCTATTTTGCCACCTATAGGCCAAGTATTAGTTAGCATTTCTTATGTGTATTGTCATTTGATATTAAAATCTAGGAAGGGATGTATAAACTAATAGTATAGTTCACTAAAATTGTTTTGGACAGTTTGGACTAAATAGTTTTCTACTTGTAGGGAGAAAAACGAAAATCCTTGCAGGTTCTACAACCTTCTGCTACTAATCAACACGTGCTAGTTGGCAGAGATGGTGTACACGAGGGCAAAAATATAGTAAGTATTCTTGTTTTCATATAACTTACATACAGCAAAGTTCTTCCTAATGCATGGGTGTTTTAAGAAAAAGATTAAGACACATCTTGTTTTATTTGTTTAATGTACATTTTGTCCATTTCCTTCGTATTCACCCAATTAACAAAAGGTACACAAGTGTTTTGAAGTATTTTTTTTTCTGTTTAAATACTTTATTCATTTAAGAATTAATGATGAATTACAGCCTAAAAATATTATTCCCACTTGTTTAGTGACAATTGTCCAATTGCTTAAAGTGCAGGATTGAATACCAAAAGTGTTGATAAAATTGTATGTGACATAAAAATAGTAAGAACCAAATGCTCAATGTTGTTTGCCTCCAAAGCTTATTAAATATTCTCTAAGTGAGATTTGTACATCAGTGAAAGCTAAAGAACTAAAATTACTAAACATATAACACAAGGTTTTTTACTACAAAATTAAGTGGAAAATGTTACATTAATTGTTGTTTTTTTTTAAAAAAAGTTTAATTCTACGTGTATGGGTGAGGGGCAAAGTGTGTCATGACCTTTTACCAAGTGCCGTTCAACATGCTACTTGTGTATTATGTTGGTTATCGACTTTTTGGTTTATCCTACTTTGCCGATTTAGTGACAGTTTATGATAGAGGAAGGAAAAAACCAGATTCTGAAAAACTGTAATATACATTTTGGACATTCTCGAGGTCATGCAATATGTAAACTGTATGATGGACAAGCATCTATTCTTGACATGAACATCTTACACTCTGACTGATCAGTCTGGCTCATACTAATGTCATCATTTCAGACATATCTTGAATACAGATTTCTGATTTTGTTTACAAAAGCTGCTAACTTTCATGTAATGTATGTAAATTTGGAATTATAATTAATATTCCTTTTACAATACAGAGTTGATCCAATGGACTGACCCTGTACACGTTCGGTTAAACTTCTTAAGTACTTCTCTAACTGAGATTCTGAAGGACTTTGAATTAATGGATGATTTTCATATATACATAGATAAAATTTTCTATTCTTTTGATTCAGTTACAAAATTTTAGAGCAAGATCATATGCAAAATTTTTTAACTGTTTTTGAAGTGGTTCAAGATACAAGGCCACAATAGAGATGTTGATATGGGAAAAATTTGTTACTGGGCTATAGAGCTGGGTGATTTAATTGATTACACATGAGAAGAAGTTACACCTATTAGTGTCATATAAACTAATCAGTTAGTTAAAATTCATGTTTCTGGTTATTTCTGTTTTTGAATTTTCCAACAATTGAACAACTGGTCAAGATTATGATAAAATAATTAACTAACTGAAGTTAGGGTTTCTGGTTAGTACAAATGTATAGGTAATCGGAATGAAGCTACGTAATGGGCTATTCGTGCTGTGTCCAGTTTTCGTCTTTTGTGGGGTTTGGGCTCGTGTTTTGAGGGTTTTGAATTCAATTCCTAGTATCGTCAAACTTGTTGGTCTGGTTTTTGTTATGACAAAGCTATTAAGATCATCTGCCATTGTCACTAACTTTAAATTTCTAACTAGAGGGTAGATTAATTTTTTGCTTGTATTTACTGTGGTTTGAGGAATAGTGTGCTAATTGATTGAATGTAAACAATTAATGGGGCTGGCAATTAAATAATTAGCAAATACTAATAATTGCCTAGATCTAGTGTTTGAGAAATAATAAATTTATTAATATACAGTAGTGTTTTTATTAGTTCAAAAATGTTTATCCTATTCATGGTATGACTTTCAATGGCTTATGTATATTTATTTTTGTTTATATTACATGCATTGTTTACAGATAAAATGGATAGAAAATATCTAATATTGAGTAAACCTGTATATATTTGTACTTAATTGAGATTTGTAATTGAAAGTAAGTCTGGGTAAACCTCAGGTTTTTGTGAAGTCAGCTGATGGTGAAAGTTAACCTCTATCAAGTTATTCCAGAGAGAAATGCTAATTTTTTTTATCTATTAATAATTTGAACTTGCAAAGTAAATATGAAAGTAATTGTTTTATAGTTAAATCTTTAAAACAAAGCTTAACTTCCATGTTTTTTTTAATTGGTTCAAAACCTGTAGACAAAAATTCATTGGATAGGTCTTTAATTAAATGTAAATATGTTCATGGCTGACCTATACATTCTTTTGAATTATATGTCACTAAATTTTAATTGTACGAGTGTGATAATTGGTGTTATTCCTTTTATACAAGTAAACCTGGTGTACTTTTTGTTACACACTCGCATTCGAGTATTTCTAAAAGTTATTTTGTTTGTTTTATTAGTTACTTTTTTGAAAATGCAAGAGTCTTGTGCTAAGTACTTGTTGTGGTTTCTTGTGTTACTTAGCCTAAGATGAAGAAGCCCAAGCTGAAGAAAAGAACTCTAGACATGACAGACTGTGAAGCTGTCAACAGTCCAGCAAAAATAAGAAAAGGCAGTGCTGGCAACAGTACAAGTGAAATTGACAAGTGCTTAGAAGAAACTATTCAAAAACAAGGATCCAAAGATGCATCATTCTTAATGTCTGGTAACTTAATTTTCAAAATATTTCCTATTTTAAATATGGGAATAGCTGAATAGTCTTTAAGTTTCTGATAGCAAAATACAAGAACAAACAAGGGGGTAGACCACTTGACGAAAGGGTCACATCTTCAACCCAAAGGGGCGAAAAAAAACCAAGGCAACCTTCCAAAGATCAGATGTTATCTTTGTTGTTGAAATGGTAGTTTTCACAATGTCGTGGCAGATATTCCACAAGGTTATAACTAGATGTGCTTTCACTGTGTTGGTTTAGATATTCCACAAGGTTGTAACTAGATGTGTTTTCATCATGTCGGGCCAGATATTCCACAAGGTTAAGTAATGTGCGTTTTCACCATGTCGGGTCAGATATTCCACAAGGTTGTAACTAGATGTGCTTTCACCGTGTCGGGTCAGATATTCCACAAGGTTGTAACTAGATGTGCTTTCACCTGTGTCGGGTCAGATATTCCACAAGGTTGTAACTAGATGT